AATAAGAAAAGAAAAAAAGCTTTTTCTCTTTTTTTCTTTCTTTAAACCGTTTTGCTGACATTTTTTTTGTTTTTTTTGTAAATTTTGACAACTAGATTATATTTATATATAAAAAAACCTTTCGTGTATACGCGTGTATGCGTGTATACGCATGCGTGCGTACACTTTTCTTTTTTTTTTTGTTAAAACATTCAAAACAGTCTTCGTATAAAATTTCCACGTTAAATTTTGTAACACGTGACAACATATAAACGAGGATCATTCTTTTCAACATTTTCCATCACGACTAACAATATTGAGGTAATAATTTATTATTAATTATTAATTATTATTATTATTAATACAGCCTTTTTTCTTTTTCTTTCAGACCGGAAATGATGGACACGCGCCTTGAAAATCATCACACGTTAATTTTTTTTTGTACATCGTAAAAAACTTTCGGATAAAATATTTTTTTCGTTGCTTTTGTTAAAAAAAAAAGAAAATCGTTTTAAAAATGACGTGGAGGTAGTAGTAACTTTAACGTTTAAATTAATCAAATTATTATTACGTATATGCAAAGGCGAATGAATATAAAAATGAAAAGAAAAAAGAAAATGGAAAATTTTAAACGACAACGATTTCATCCATTTCGCTTTCGTCCGTTTCGATTTCAACAGGTACAGGATCATCGGCGTCGCCATCTTTAGACCAAGTTTCCACATCGATCGTATCCATTGAATTAGTCGGGGATTCGGTGCTCGATTTAACTTCGATGTCATTGTTTTCCTTCAAGCAAGAGGATTCGAGATGTTTACTCAGGTACGATTTCAATGCAAATGATTTTTTACATTTTAAACAAATGTAATTTTTTTCAAACGAATGAGTTTGCATGTGTGCTCTTAAATTGCTACGATCTGCAAATGCTTTTCCGCAATGGCCGCACCTGTAGGGTTTTTCTCCCGTGTGTGATCTTAAATGACCTTGTAGGAGCCAAGGTCTTGAAAACATTTTACCGCATATACCGCATGCGTGTGATAATTTATGAGTGAGCAAATGCATGGCCAATGCTGGCATGCTGACATATGCTTTACCGCAAGTCATGCACTTTTTAGCCGATTGTGAATCCAAACTCCTGTGGGTTTGTTTATGCCTGGATAAATTTGAACTCGTCGCATATTTTCTACCGCATTGAGTGCAAGAATATTTTCCTCCCTTTCCCGCATTTTCCGCGTTTTCGTCGGACGGATTTGTCTTTTTTCGTTTCCAATCGCTGGGTAAAAAAGATGCTTTGCTACGTTTTTTCCTTATAACTATGGATTTGTTTTTGAAATTTGGATTGTTGTTTTCCGCGTCCGAATGATATTCCGACGTTGGAGGTTTTACGACGGTTTGTGTTTCGTTATTTGAATATTCGACTGATGATTCCGTACTACTGGGTTGAAAACGTATAACGGGAGTATACGATACGGCATTGGTCCCGGGTACCGGTTCGGATTGTTGTGTAGGAAAGGTTGTCGGTGGCGGAAGAAGAGTACCCGACGATAAGGGATATACCTGTTCAATAACCGAAGAAGATGTTTGAGGGATTTCTTCGACTATTTGAGTATTGTTCGATATGATATGAGTAAATTGTATAACTTGTGGTGGGACGGACGACGTGTCTGATGGTGTTATGGATATAATTTTTTTAGGTACCGGTCTCGTTATGAGATGTGTGACGTTGTGGGGGGGTTGAGGCGATGGCATTCTTAACACGACGGGTTGAGAATTATCATGATCGTATGTTATTTTATAATTTTTATCAGAAATCGAGGAAGACAAATTTTCATTGTAGTTAATTATTGACGCGTCGTTTAAGTGAATGATCGAAGAAGAATTTTCTTCTTCTTCTTCTGTTAATGGTTTCAATGGAGTCGATTCCGTTAAATTTTCCAATTTCGAAGAATTCGCCGAATCGTTATTTATATCTTCCTCGTATGTTTGAGACGATATAGTATCGTAGGACAAAAGTGTCGCGGAAGAAGTTTTATCAGTATTATTATACGTTGAAAAAGATGGATTTGAATTTTTTATTCCCTGTTGTGTATGAGGAGGTACTCGAACGACAACGGAAACGGGAATTCGAGATTTACTCACGTCGATATTATCGACCGTTTTGAAAGAATCGTAATAAGACACCTGAGATTCTTCGAGTTTTTCCTGATAAGAAGGTTTTGAAAGTTTAATCCTATCATGGGGTGGATCATCGCATTTTGGCGAAACTCTCACCACTACGGGATTAGGCAAGGGTGGTAACGATCTCGATAATTCCAATAAATCGTGTGCTGCTTCCGTTTCTTCGGCGCTTCTTTCTCTAAATATTGGTATTCCACCATCGTGACTTGCAACTATTGGAGTTCTTCTTATAACTGAATTATCTTGTGATATTTGCGGAATGTAATCGTTCATGTAACCTGAAACAAATGTGGTATCATACATAAAAAAAAAAAATTTTTTTGGCAAATATATATATTATTTTAATAAAAGGTTTGAGAAAATTTGTTGTGACGCGTTTTTGAACCAACAGGTTAAAGAATGAAGGCAACAGGTGTTCTTTATTTAGCTATGGATCAAGAATGATTGACCTCCAGAAAATTCACCTGTGGAGTTTTTATATACTTTTATAAATACTTTTTTTTTCTTTATAAAATAAACTTTTTTTAAAGTTTATAAACGTTGTAAAAACTTAGACGCAAACACACACACAAAGAAAAACAAAGAAAAACGTTAAAATATTTTTTTTTTTTGTGTTTTGTTGCAAAATTATTTTTAATTTTTTTTTTTTACGACGGAAAAGGAAAAAAAGAATTTTCTTTTATCATTAATCAGTTTTTCCTGGAGAAAAATTCAAGTCGAAAAAAAGTTTTTCATTCGAACAAACGAACAAACAAAAATTTCTTTTCTGGAGGAGAAAAAAATTAGAAAAAGAAAAGCTTCGGCCATTAAAATTTAAAAAAAAAAAATTTTTTTTTTAAGTGGAAAATTTCCCCCCCCCCACTCTGATATTTATTTATAAAAATTTTTTTTATATTAATTATCACGTGACCAAACAAACAATTTTAAAGCCCCGATTAAATAAATTAAAAAATATTCCAGTCAAATTTTTTGTTTTTTGGCGCGACCTTTAACAAAAAAAAATTTTTGAGTGAAATTTATTAATGAATAAAAATTTTCCACCGCCTTCTATAAAATAAGAAGAATAAAAAGAAAACATTCCGACGTCGTCTGAACTTTTTTATTTTAATTAAAAAAAAAAAAAAAAATGCGAGACGTTTAAATAGTCTGCTTCTTTTTTTTTTTTTCCAGAAATAAAAATCACGGGTGCATAAATTTATTTTCTTTTTTTTTTCCAGGGAGGAGAAATAACAACAGAAATAAAAAAAAACAAGTTATAAATGTAAATGGTTCAATGATAAAAGCACACACCGACAGACATCATCCAGTCAAGGGTTGGTTCCAAAAAAAAAATGGAAAAATGGAAAGGAAAAAAAGGAAAGGAAAAAAAAGGTAAAAAGTTTTAAAAAGTTAATTTCCATGCAGATTTTTTCAATTTCGAAACTGTCTTCGCTTAAAATTTACGACTTTAAAAACTGTAGAGAATATTACGCACATTTTCCCCCCTTTCCCTATTTCTCCACCCCCTACTCCCCCCAGCAAAAAAAATGTACCGATTTTTCCCCTTTTACCAGGTAAATTAAATGATTCCAGTCAAAAGTTGTCGAAGAAAAAAAAATCCTGCGCGGTTTTCATTTTCATTTTTCTCGTACTTGTTGACATTTATTTCGGAATGAAAAAATATTTTTTTTTTATTATTAAAAAAAAAAAAAAACTCCCTCTTCTTCCTCTCCCCCTCTTTTATATTTTTATGGGGATCCTTTTGAGATTTTCTCTCAAAATTTAAAAAAAAAAATATTTTAACGGTTATTTACGTCGTATTTTTAGAACAAATTGTAGTAAATTAAAAATTTTCTTTTTATTTACGTTGGTTTAACAATAATAATAATAATAATAATAATAATGATGATGATGATGATAATGATAATGATGATGAAAAGAAAACGCTAAATTTTAAATAAATTTTAATAATTTGAGGTCAAAGGTACGACCAAAAAAAAAAAGACTTTTTTTTCCATTTTGATGAATCCATATAAACTTTAAACATTAACTTTTTAAATCGAATCCCGTGTTTTTCCTTTTCTTTTTTTTCGGGGGGGGGGAGGAAAAGGAAACTAAATTAAAAAAAGGGTGATGAATAAAACTTCCAAAAAAAAAAACCGTAAAAGAAGAAATTAAATAAAAATTTTTTTTTTTTTTGATAATATTGAATAATAATCTTTTAATACAAATTTCAATTTCAAAAAAAAAAAAAAAATACGTTAACGAAATTTATATATTTCCCACAAAGGAAAAAGAGAAAAAAGGAAAAAAAAGGAAAAATTGTGAGTTTGAGTTGAGTTCTTTGGTTGAAATTAGATATTATCAAAACCTTTATATATATATATAAAAAAAAAAAACTTTTAAGTATAAATTTACCGTTTTAATTTTTTCAAAAGAGTTTGAATATATATATATAATATAATCTGTGGGGTGAATTTTAAAAATTCAATACGAGTTTTTACCGTTATCATCATCATTATTATTATTATTATTAATTAAAAAAAAAGAAGCTTTGCAAACGAGTGAATGGGCGACGCCTTCAATTTATTTACTTATACATTTTGTTATACATTCCGTCATTTGTTACAGAATGTTAATGAAAACGTAGGAGTAAAAATACAAATTTTTTTTTTTTTAATTGTTTCCTTTATTTTAACTTAAATCAATGATAATAATAATAATGATAATGATAATAATGATAATAATGAAAAATAAAACTCACCGTTTGCAACGGTTATTGTGACGTCCATGTTTCTATAATATGGCGGACTCGTTGGAGCCGTTGTTGCTTCCGTTGGACTTTTAGGACCGGGTGCTTTTCTTTGCGATGATGGAAAATCCTGTTGATTTTCTTCGGGAAATTTCGTACCGTTTTTTTTAACCATATAACAACGCGGCATTTTTTACTTATTTTATTTATTTTATTAAACAAATACTTTATTATTTTAAAAAAATCAATAGTTTATTTGGTTCCCTTTTACTTTAAAATTTATGTAAAAAAAATTTTTTCCTTTTCGTTGATTATTTTTATTACACAATAAATAATATTTATGTATATTATTATTATTATTATTTGTTTAATTATTAAAATATTAATAATGATAATAAAAGTTTGTTTTATTTCGTTTTATTTTTGTTTTCCGGGTTGTTGTTGTTTTGGAGAATACGGGGATAAAATTTTATGTGTGTTTCACCTGAAAAAATTAAAATTTAATAATTATAAATAATTATTTATTTATTTATTAAAAATAAATAAATAAAATTTATTAATATTTTTTATTTAAAAGTAAACCACGAACGGATGCATTAGTTTGTGGGACCGCAAAATTTTCAACGTTTTTTTCACTTTTCCCCCTCCATTTTCTCGTTATAACTTTTTTAATTTAATTTATAATTACGTAAGCGCGTTATTTTCCTTTTAATAATAATAATAATAATAATAATGATAATAAAGGACGTTAAATTGAAAAACTACGATTATTAATAAGGACACAAATAAATAAATAAAATCAATAAAATTTATTATTATTATTATTTTTTCTTCTTCTTTTTAAGAAAAAAAAAATTAAACGAGAAATTTTGCAGCCGTTTAAAAATTTTTTTGTTTGTTTGTTTGTTTGTTTTGTTTGTTTTGTTCTGTTTTGAGTTAAAATAAACACACAAATAAATATAGATATATGTTATAGTTCAGTGACACGAAAGAAATAAATTTAAAAAAAAAAAAAAAAATGGAAAAAAAAAGAAGAAGAATTGAAAAAGACACACAAACTGTGGAAAAAAACAAAAAAAAAATTTTTATAAACTGGATAAATATTATTATTATTACTATTATTATTATTTTAATCGAATTTTTTTTCCTATTACTTTTATTAAATATATAATAATAATAATAATAATTAAAAATGGCGGATTCGTAAAATAATTAAATTATTTAAAAATATTCTATTAAAAAGAAAAAATTTTACGTAATAGTTTGTTTAAAATTTTTTTTTTTGTAACTTAGCATCGATAATGAATTTTATTTTTTTTTTGAGGGGGGGGGTTTCAAACAAATGGAAAAGTTTTTTTTTTAGTGGGGGAAGGGAAGGGAGGGAGGGTGTTTTGTCAGTTAGAAAAAAAAAGAAAAGTTTTTTCCGGAAAAAAAATTATTTGAAACGAACGATGGAGTATAGGTCGATGGAAATAGTGAAAATTTATTGAGAAGAGGAGTCAGAAAGAGATAGAGAGTTAGAGAGAGAGAAAGGAAATGAGAGAAATCGTTAGAGAGAAACAGAACGAGAAAGTTGTAAAGAGAGAAAAAAAAAAGAGAGAGACAGAAAGAGAAAAAGGCGGAGGCAAAAGGAAAGAGAAAAAGAATGAAAGAGATTAAGAGAGAGAAAGAAAGAGAGATTTAAAAAAACAGGGAAAGATAGCAAAAGAGAGAGAGAAAGAGAGAGGAAAATGAAAAACTTTTAATGCTATAAACAAATCCGAACTGGAATAAAATTTTGCGGAATTCTTAATCAAATTAATGTGACAACGAATTTCGCTTTTAGTAAAAAAAAAAAAAAAATTTTTTTTTTTTTTGTCCACCCCCCAAAAAATCTAAAAATTAAATTTGTTCCGTCTTTTCATTAATTTTATTAATGGGATCCTAAATAAAATATAAAAAAATTTATTATTATTATTATTAATACAACGATTAATCACGATAAATAATGATTATAATAATGATAATAATAATAATAATAATAATAATAATAATAATAAATATAAATATAATAATAATGGCCGCAGTAATTAAAAACAAATGTGATGCGAAGAAGGAAGAACGTTTATCGATTTTTTTTTTTATTTTTTGTTTTCAGGGCCGTAATTATGATATTTAACGACAAACTCTCGCCTATTAAAAAAAAAAAACTAATTACGAACAACTTATTTTTTAACCAGGTTTTATTAATAATAATAATAATAAAATCGTGAGGATTTTTCTTTTTAATGAAATGAAAAAAGCAACTCAACGATTTTTTTTTTTTTTGCTTTTTTTTTTTTGCTTTTTATGACGAAATCGTAAAAAGAGAAAAAAACTTGACGATAGCAAAAATATAAAATTTTGCTATGAATAAATAATGAAAAAATTATTTTCGGAAAATTTAAAAATAAAACCTGGAATTATTATCGTAAAAGTAATAATAATTATTATTATTAAAATTATTTTTATTTCTTTTCTTCTCTTTCTTTTACTCTATTAATTACGGAAAATAATAATATTATTATTATTACTTTTATATTATGCGATGGAAGAAAAAAATTTTTCTTTGTTTTTAACTTTATTTATTATTATTATTATTATCGATTTGTTTTTTCGAAAGGTTTTTTTTCTTATATTCATTTTAAAATGCCAATAAAATAAGAATGGGGGGAAAAAAGAATTTTTTTTTTTTGGTTTTGAAGAAAGAAAAAAAAAAGAAAATGAAAAAGAAGAAGAAGGTGAAGATGAAGATGAAGAAGGAGCAGGAGAAAAAAGAAGAAGAAGAAAAAAAATTGAAGCGTTTTATAAATAGAAAGCTCTCGAGGGAAATTTGTAAGCGAGTTGAACCGTAACGCACATCATAAAAAGAAATATGACTATTTTAAAAAATCAACAATTTTGAATAAAAAAAAAAAAAAAGGAAAAAAGGAAAAAAGGAAAAGACAAAATAAAATAAAATAAAAGGACGATAAAAGATATTGAAGAGTGTAAAAAAAAAAAAAAAAACAGGAAAAACGAGGAGCATCAACAGCTCCGAAAGCTCCAACAGCAAAAGCAACAAAAAATTTCAATTTAAAAAATTGTAACCGTCTAAATTTTTTTTGAATTCTGACTGATTGAAACCTGTTGAATGTGTAAAATAATAATTTTTATATTTATAAATAATAATAATAATAATAATGATAATAATGATAATAATGATAATAAGAATAATACAAACGCATACATATCGTCGAAAAAAAAAATATCAAGAAAGACATGACATTAAACCACATGATGGAAGATAATAAAAAGTACGTAAAAAACGACGACGACGACGACGAGGACGAGGACAATAACAAAAGAGGATAAAAAAAAAAGCAGAACAAAATGATGATAATAATGATGATAATATTTTAAAAAAAAAAAAGGGATGAAAAATAGGGATTGTTATTTTTATAAAACAATGAATATACGTATGTATGACTACTACAACAACAAACGCACGGATAAAACCTAAACAAAAAAGGGGGAAACGGAAATGGGGAGACGTCGGAAAAAAAATTTTTTTTTTTAAAATTCAATATCGACGTTTTTGTCGTCGTCCTCGTCGTCGTCGACGTCGACGTCGACGTACGAACAAAAAAACATTTTTTTTACGTTTTTCAAAAAAATCCCGTAAATAAATTTTTTACAAAAGGTTAATGTTACGTCACCTGTTGACCCGTCCGTCGTCATCGTCGTCGTCGTTTTTCTTTCATTAACAAAAAAACAAACAAACGAACGAACAAAATCATTATTATTATTATTAACACGAGTATTTTCTTACCTTTTCATAGACGAAAAAAAATTTTTTTAATATAAAATCACGACGACAAACAACGAAACAAACGAAAAAAATGTTTTTTTATATAAATAAATAAATTTTCACTCGCGTTTTCCGCGCGTTTTCCAATTCGGAAAAATAATGATAATAATAATAATAAATTGAAATAAAATTGATAATTTCGTTTTTTTTTGTTGTTTAAAAAAATATCCGCGTAAATATTCACTGATAAACACACACACATAAAATCCGCGTATTTTTTTCGCGGTTGTTGTTGTCGTTGTTAACAAAACGATTTTTTTTTATATTCCCGTCGTATTATTATTATTATTATTAATAATATTCCCGACAGAACCGTGTAAAATTATTTATATATATAAACATACATCGTTACGTAGAAAAATAGAGAGAGAGAGTGAGAGAGAGAGTAACAACAACAAAAAACAAAACAACCGAAAAAATAATAAGAAGAAGAAAATTATAAATAATAATAATAATAATGATAAAAAAAAAAGAAGAAAAAAAAAAAGAAAAAAAAATTTTTTTTTTTTTTCTTTTTTTTTTTTGTTTGTTGAGTTAAAGTAAAAATTGCACCACTCCCATCGACGAGCAAAGCTCGTTCCGTTAGCGTCTCCATCAAGGGTAAAGCGTTGCGACAACCTTTTCAAACATGCGCACAAAACCTTTTTTTCGAAGGAAAAAAAAAAAAACATAAAATCCGATCGATTATGGAATACCTCCTGACACCTGTTATTATAAAATAAAATTTTTATATCGTTTTTAAGGCGCGATTCACGTTCTAGAAAGTTCTATCGCGGTAGTCGTCGTCGTCGTCATCGTCGTCGTTTTTCTTCCATATTTAACTTATTATTCGCGTCGATTCGAAAAAAAAAAATTTTTTTTTTTTTTAATGAATGAATCATTTAGCGGAATATGTTGAGGGGTTGAACGCTAGGAGGGGAGGGAAGGGAGTGTGGAAATAGAGGGGGAAAGAGGGTAGGGTAAACATAAATCGATATTTCTTCAATCGTCATGCTCTCTATTATTTTCTTCCATTTTCTTCCATTTTCTCTCTATTTTTCTTTCTAACGGTTTTAATGTTTTATACATAAAAACAGCAGATGTCTCGTCGAGTTATATTTTATTCTTTAATTTGTTGTTGTTGTTGTTTAACGCCATGTTTGTTTGTTTGTTTGTTTGCTATACGATAAGTATCAACCAACCACCAAAAGGAAAATTAATTGATATTAATTAACATTTCGATTTTATTTAATTTTTTAAAAATGTCGTTTGTTATAAAAAAAAAAACACTCGAAAGTAACAAACAACAAACAATCATGTCACGTGAC